ACTTATGGCTGCTCAGTAACAGCATTTGCCCAAAGAGTCTATAAGTCTAAAATGGGTGTTATTTTATTGCAAAGGTACAAACGTGAATGTAACAAATTATTTGGTGACGCTGTGTTTGGCAGTGGTGCAAAAATCACAAATGGCACAAAAAACCCAAACACGTTCGTCAACAACACCGCTGCATTGAAAGCAGAATAGGTGACGTTTTGGGCAATGACCCCTTCTCCACAGCACATTCTAAATATGTTCACATGCGAAAACTGTTCGTCAGGAAACGTTTTTATGTGCAATTCTTATCAGGCATCTTGGTGTAAAGCCCAGTCTTCAACTCTTGTTCACTCTCTCTGGCATCTATTTACGTACCACAAAGAAGGGCTATTGCCTGAAACATCGCCGGCTATGCGTTCCACCCCCCACCCCCTATGAATGTTGGGTGATTTCTCTCCAATTGTTGTGGTCATATACCATTGGGTGTCCCCGAATGTGGTATTTTTCAGAACTCCCAACTTAAGAGCCTCCTAAAAAAAAGAAGTGCATTGGATCTTAAAAAGGCTTTCATTCCAATTCTGCATTTGGAAGCATTAAGTTAACACACACACACATACACGGTTTCGATTAAGCCGAGTATTTCCGCTGCTTATTGTAAACGAGATAACAAATTGTCTAAATCACAGGTGTAATCTACAAAAGTCATCAAATCTCGTTTCAACATTTTTTTGGGTAGAATTTTCCCCCGTTTGGGAAATCAAGCAGAAGTAGGTTTCGCCACGATATAGGGTAGCAGTTTTGAAAGAGATTGTTTTTGGTTTGTTTCGATAATAAAAGTGTGACGTTGGCAGTGTTAGCAAAAGTAAGTGACCCAACACAGAGCTGCGTGGTTTTATTTAAGAACGTAAAAATTTTGACCGTTCGGGAAGTGGTGGTGAGGGGGGGGGGGCTTTGAAGAATACAGGTACAGCGATATAAAATGAAACCAGTTACTTCTGCAAACATCCCAAAACCATCGCGTAACGTTCCACATGGGTGGGTGTTCCCCCTGCATCCTTCCAAGTGACATCTGCCTCTTTCCTGGGCCAGCCCCACAAGTAGATATAAACTTTTTCTTTTACTAGGTAAGGCCCACTGAGTTATATAGTTCTTTTTCAGAAGCGACCTGGTCACAAATGATAGCTCAACTAAATGGCTTATCGTGTGGAAATTTATAGCGGCCAAATACTCTAAACGCATGATTCTAAATGTGGAGGGAAAACTGAAGGACCCAGATAAAAATGCACGCGACCACAGGGAGAGAGACACGCAAACTCCAAATATACAGCAGCAGGCGTCAGGGTTGGGATTGAATCCACGACCTCCTGTACACCAGGCGAGGTAGTTAACATCTCCTAGCCACCGTGATAGGTCCTTATACCAACAACATTTGCCGAAGTGCTCCAATGACTGTTGGGCCATTGGTCTACAACCGCTGTAAAGGTCGCATACCATGGTGGCTTTTCCAATCGTGAAATTGCCAAACTTCCCAATTGAAGATGCTTCTGAAAAAGTGTCATGGACGCGCCATGATTCTCATCAATAACGGCCATTCATAGTGTAACAATCCACAGCATGATAAAGGCCTTTCGTTGCTGTACCTGCCGTGGGAGTTGTTCGACCATACTTCACCATGTAGGTCAGTGCAGGTGGGTTGGTGAAGGCGGACGAGCATAGAAGCGCAGTCCAACAACGGATTCGTTTTGCTGACCTGCCAGCTGTTCCCCACCACGTAACCTCGCAGCAGCCGACAGCAACCTGTTGTGCATGATTGTTGTAAACTCATCTCAAGCACGAACCAGGCTGAAAAGCTGCTCAGCTTTCAAGATCTGACCAAATACAGCTCGTTCCAAACGAGGGTATTTATTTTCGTTATGCGAGTTTACTCGGGAAATCATCACAGGTATCGTCACTAAATTTCTAACTACTGACATGCGATTCGAAAAGGCATTTGCTGATTATGTTTTAAAATCGCCAAAAGAGATTTGCAGCAGCATTTGGTCAAATGGGTTCTGACCTGGTCATGAAGTCATAACAGTCCGTAATCACGCTGTGTACGTACATACCTGTCAACCCATACAGGTTTACCCGTATGCTTGTACAGGGAAATTGAGTTTACAGGTCAATACAGTGCACATCCGTTTCAATACGAGCAAAAATAATGTCTATTTGTATGTCCATAATAGAGGTTTTTTGGGGTTAGATCGCGTGGTTATTTCACATTTATCCAATCTATTTATGCGATCTAACTCAAAAAACATCTTATGGATGATATTGGTCACGAAAGCCTACGTGCTGAGCTGTTTGTGTTTCTCCCTTGTGATGGGACTATGTAGGATTAACGTTGAGATTTATAAGGGCACGGCGTGACCAAGAAGGTCTGAATTGATCTGTAATAAGGTAGGGCAGTGATGATCAGAGGTTGGTAGGTATGTAATTTACTGTAAACGTTGAACTTCTTTCGCACTGTACACAGCCATCCGTGCTAATCCTGGGCATTTTAATGACGCGTTCGAGCGTGCAAATGCAGTCAGTGGTTATCTCACATTTATCCAATCTCGTGTCAACATTGCGTCCTAATTACACGCAATACAAGTAACGGCTGTACGTTGGGGGTGTTTATTGTTTGCAGTACCCACAGACGAACAATAAAACACATGATTGCATTCCTGTGTATAAGGCAATAGCTTGTTACGTAAATACATTACGGAAATTAATCTGCGTGGATTTAGTCGATGCACGGATAATAATGCCGAGGTTTTTTTAAAGTCCAGCAGTAGGACAAGACCATGGCAAATGCTGTTGTGAAGCTCACGCAGTCTGGAACATGATGGTAGAGCTACATCCAGAAGTTTACCAATGGCTATTGATGATGAAGCATTAATTCAGCAGTGGTTACGCAATAGCTGCTGACGATGGGAGGATTTCCATGCATCAGCGGAGTGACCATGGCTGATGGTGACTAAGTAATTAACTATGATAGTGGCCATTATCCAGCGGTGGATAGTCCATGGAGAATGATAGCAGGTCGCCCATCCAGCAGTGGATGGATCGAGGCTTGGTGACAACAATAACTGGAGAAGTTCATACGACAACAAGTGAATATCATCCGTATCGAGACACCACGCTCGCCAGCTCAGCTGAGAGTTGGCTGCTGCTGCTGCAGCTGCTAATGATGACATACATCTATCCAGCAGTGGATAGACCACGGCAGATGACCGATAGATTCCACACCATAAACATTCCGAGAAGAAGCACCACCGCGAGCCGGCTCTGGCCGACCGGACGGAGTGGAGCAGCAGGTCTTGGCCTGTTTCTGCGGGTGAGGATGATGTGCAAGGGTGGTCAAGATGTATTGTGACTCCCCCCCCCCCCCCCCAATAAATTAACCCCTAACATTTTTTTATTTCGCACATTAATTTCTGGTTTAAATAAACCTTACTTTTTAAAATACGTATTAAGTCTAGATTTGAAGCTTTCGTGACTGCAAGGATTCATATTCTTAGGTTTTTTCGGTAAAGTCACGTAGGTACATTTTTTTTAATTAATAAAGTAATATATAAATAAAATAAAAATCACGACGTTTCGGAGGCAACACAAGCTTCCGTCTTCAGGTGGAACCGTCACAGCACGATACTTGATACAGCAATCGTGCTGTGACGGTTCCACCTGAAGACGGAAGCTTGTGTTGCCTCCGAAACGTCGTGATTTTTATTTTTATTTTACTTTTATTAATTTAATTTTTTTTTACCTACGTGACTTTACCGAAAAACCTAAGAATACGTATTAAGTGTTTCAGAATTGAATGGGAGGGGGTGGGGTCACAAGACATGTGGCCCACCCCTGTATCGGTACTGTATTAACCAACACCCATCCGCTCTGTATAATGGCGCACAGAGAGAGAGAGAGAAGCCACAGGATGTGTGCTCGTCTGTCCTTCTACACCAAGATCACAACAACACCACAACCACCACCACCATCACCTCGCCCATTCTCAAGCTCATCAGATATTCGCCCGCGTGTGGCGCTCCATCTCCCATCTCAGCCAAGGTCCGCACCGCCACCATCACCAACACATCAAGCAGAACACCATCAATCGCCCCCCCATGGGTCAGACGCAATAACAAAAAACACCCAACGTAGAGAGAGAGGAAGGTGTCGTTCACGTTGCATGCGTCTCCCCATCGTCACGGTTAACGACGCTGCGTGCGTTTCAAAGAGACGGGAGATGGTGGCAGCGGTGAGATGGGACGATGTTGACTGCGCGTCCGGGGGTCGAGAGGAACGAGAGGCGCACAAAGACACGGGGTGGTGTGCCTGGGTGGGTGCCTGGGTGGGTGCCGTGGGTGGGGGTGGATGATGTGCACCGCCACCGTGGGGAGACGGAGCGGCGAGATCAGTTGGCGCAGCACCATCATCATCATCACCATCATCACCACCACCATCATCATCATCACCACCACTACCACCACCAGCATCATCATCATCACCACTACCCTCATCATCACCATCACCACTCCACCACCATCATCACCACTACCCCCACCATCATCACCACTACCACCATCATCACCACTACCACCATCATCATAATCATCATCACCACTACCACCATCACCATCACCACCAAGCACATTGGGACCCGTGGCGAGGGAGTGAGAGGGAGGGATGGCGGCAGCGTGGCCTTCATCCAGCAGTGGATCGACAGTGGCCATCACCGACGCTCAACGTGTCGGCGTGTCAGCGTCGCAACAACAGACGGAACGGACCAGAAACGTGTGGGCACGTGTGCGTGTTTGTCACACGTACACAACACACACACGCGTGTAAAACACACACACGCGTGTAAAACACACACACGCGTGTGTGTGTGTGTAACACACACACACACGCGTGTGTAAAACACACACATACACACGACTGTTGCCTGTCGTCTGCGTGTAGTTTTGCTTCCCTGCACACACGCTCCTCACCTCGCAATATCCGCCGTGAGACGAGAACGACGACGACGACGAGGATGATGAGGGCGGGTAGCGCCGCTCCGTACTTCACAAAACAACCCACGCGTCACGCCGACGAGGTCTGATGATGGTGGGAGACGATGGTGATGACGACGACGACGATGACGATGATGATGGCGATGTGCGCGTGACGCGCCTTTGCGAGGGTCTCGCAAGGAACCGGCGGAACCCTGTGGGGTGGAGGAGGGGGAGGCGGCGGGAGGGCTCTTCTTGTCCGGTTGTTTCTGTGGGCGAGCTACGCCGCGTGACCCGTGGTGGTGGGGGGGTGTCTGTGTGTGCGTGTCACTCTGTGTGTCTGTGTGTGCGTGCCACTGTGTGTGTCTGTGTGTGTGTGCGTGTCTGTGTGTGCGTGTGTGGGTCACTGTGTGTGCGTGTGTGTGTGCGTGTCACTGTGTGTGTGTGCGTGTCTGTGTGTATGTGGGTGTGTATGCGTGTCACTCTGTGTGTCTGTGTGTGCGTCACTGTGCGTGTCTGTGTGTGTGTGCGTGTCACTCTGTGTCTGTGTTTGTCTGTGTGTGCGTGTCACTCTGTGTGTATGTGTGCGTGTCTGTGGGTGTGTGTGTGTCTGTGTGTCTGTGCGTGTCACTCTGTGTGTGTGTGCGTGTCTGTGTGTATGTGGGTGTGTGTGCGCGTCACTCTGTGTGTGTGGGTGTGTGAGTGTCTGTGGGTGTGTGCGTGTCTGTGTGTGCGTGTGTGGGTCACTGTGTGTGTGCGTCACTCTGTGTGTCTGTGTGTGTGTGCGTGTCTGTCTGTGTGTACGTGGTGGTGGTGGTGGTCGTGGGGAGCGGTGGTGTAGTGGTTAGCGCGCTGCGCTACGAACCTGGCTGATCAGGGTTCGATTCCCGCTCACGGCCAACACCGGTGACGATTATCTGAACTGGTCGCTGGGCCTCCCCTAGGTCGACTCAGCCTAAAATGAGTACCTGGTGCGGTGTGTAAGCATCGCCACTAGGGAGACAAAGGCGGCGCTGCTCGCTAACAGCACTTGCCCCTACAGTCTGTTCCAGGCTACACGGGAGATATTGTTTGTATTGTTGGTGGTGGTTGGGACTTCCAGCCGACTATCGGCAATGTCTGAGATCAGCAGGGTTGTTGGGCGGCAGGGCTTTTTAGGGAGCAAAGCGAACAGAAAGTGTGTGTTGGCGTGGTGGTGGGTGGTGGTGTTGGTCTGTCCGTGTTGCCACATCTAACGGGTAAAAACCACCAGATTCCAGCTAAAATTGCCACGGATGCCGCAGATTTGTATCTATACGAGAACTCTCGAGATCGGGGGACCGGTCAAACATGCGGGTGGCTCTTTGGCTGCCCCCTTGCGGGCTACCGGTTTAAAAAAAAATCTTAAATCTTCAACATAATTTAACGTAAAAGGTAATTGTTTAAATGTGGCAGGGAATGGGTCACTACGGAATGTCTTGGTGACGACATAACGTACCATCAAACAGTACTTTTAAAGAATAACGAAGGGGTGGGGGGAATAAATATACGGAGTTTATTCCATCACCTATTTTGTTTAAGCTCGAATATGTCATCTGCCTGCTGGTGTTAGTGTACAATCAGCTCTGCGCGTGATTGCGACTCTCGCAACGATTTTGGTAAAAAAACTAAAAAACCACAATGGCTCTCGATAATTACAGAAATGTCAGTTCTGTGCAAATGTACCGCCCACGTGTCCCAGTGCATCATGCCCCCCGCCCCCCCGGGGTCGATAAAAAATAAGTACCGTATCAATTTTGTAGGAAAAGTTCACGGTGGTTCTATGACTCGATTAATCGATTCACAACCCCCCCCCCCCCCCCCTTTGGAATGTAAAATTTCCACCACCCCGGCTGAGGGTTGTAAACAGGAGATCAGCATTTCCTCAATGCCATTTGTATTGTCATTGTGTAGCCCCGGGAAATATTCCATCAGATTTGGTGGGGCGTGGAGCGGTTGTGGCTATTCGAGTAGCAGCACTGTTCGATAACGGTGAACAATTGCATGACAATCTTAGTAATTTAGAAAGATCAGATAAATAGATGACCCTTTTTTTGGGCACGTGAATAAATAAATTCCACGCAAAAAATGTCCCACTTTACGTGATACCCACACTGTTAGGTAAACGTTTATATTCGAAAAGGATAAACTTTTGTTTTTAATGGGAAATATCCGTCCCTCGAACAAAATAGAAAAATAAATATTTTTAGAGGCAAACGCTCTGATGTGGCAAGAGCAGTTGGAGACTGAACTCATGACGTCATAGTGATTCATGCACGGCTCGCCGGCTGTAAATGATCGCAGTTTAGTGCCCTTTCCACATTACGCACGTGACCAGGGTGGTTCATTTAGCCCGCAAGGTTAAAACCTTCAACTGGTGAGTCTGGGGCAAGTTTTCATTTAGTCATACACATTTTTGTTGTAGAGTTAAGAGTGTCAGTGAAGTCGACGACAACTTGTGGAATTTTAGGAGGGTCTGGGTGTGGATTCCAAGTGTGTAATTCTCTGAGTCTGGTCGACCAAAAATGTCAAAATTTAGTTCACTCCGAGTCGTGAAATATATTGCTTGGTGATGCTGCTTTTGCGGTGGCGCACAATAAACAAAATAACTCAATAACACATTCGTCACGTGCTATGAAGAAGGGTCATTGCCCGAAACCTCGTCTGCTCTATATTATACTCGGCGGGGTAATTACACTGAAAACAAATGCAAATGAAAGAGATTTGGACTGAGAAGTAAATACAGTAACTGTAAGTGGGCTGGGAAATGGCCAATGGGCTGGTGAGAGAATGACAGCTGAAAATAACACAAAGACAAAGATCCCCCGTATAGCCTTAACAGACTGTTGGGGCAAGTGCTGTTAGCGAGCACCCGTGAAAGCCGGCACGGCACACGAAGGGGTGGGTGGCCAGCACCACGCCCGGCCGCCTTTGTCTGTCTACTGGCGATGTTTGCACACCGCAACAATATTTGAGGCTGCGTCGACCTAGGGGAGGTCCAGACCGGTTCAGATAATCGTCACTGGTGTTGGCCGTGAGCGGCAATCGAACTCGGGTGGCCGGGTTCGTAGCGCGATGCGCTAGCTGGTGCATGCCCTCAAGGACGCCCACGGTGGAGATGGAGCGTGGCACCGCAAGACCATTTGGGATGGCGAGGGTTGGGGAGGCCCTCATCCAGCAGTAGCTAGAACATGGCTGGCTGTGATGCGATGTGATGTCACGTTTAGGATAAATATGCGAAACGCAGACGTGAATAATCCATAACAATGTATGTGCTGTGATGAAGGGTAATTTCCCAACACGGTGACTTATATATTTATTTTATGTCAAGGCGGCAGTGTTATTGACAAGTACAGACCTGTTGGTGAGTATTATTCCAGGTATTATCAGGTCATCCAATCGGTAAACTCCCAATATACATCTACTGTGTAGCCGATTACCACGACTGCTTTTCCCCAGTACACTGCAGTTTCTAATAACCTTGCTAACTCATCATTACAGAATTATTGTATTACGCGTAGAGCAAACCCAAAGCAGAACATGGGGAGATTATATAAGCTGCACATTTATTGTTGTTATTGATATGTAAATAAGCGACACGCGTGTTGAATTTCCTTTCTCATGCAACTGCAGTATTATGCAACTGGGGATTATATTGCTCTAGAGGCATGTATTATTGTTATAAAAGCAGGTGTTGCTGATCTCTTAATGTCTCTCGCACATGCAACGAGTATGATGTGTGTTAACATTTAACTCATCTCCACGACTCTGGATTTCCCACTCAGTGTGTCCATGTGCGTGTCTATGTGGGGAGCAGACTCTGTCTTCTCGATAGACCTGTTCTTCACCCGAGGACGGCTGCTTGCGTTGTGGCCGAAACGTCGTGAGAATTATTTTATTATGTTTAATTCTATTATTTTATCATTTCCATTCTACGTGACTTTACCGAAAGAACCAAGAAGAAGAAGACTCGCTTTGTTGATGGGACACTTTCAGTTTAATTGCACCAATCCTGATGATAAGATACACCACCCCCAGAAAGCCGTGGAGCCCATGGGTTGTGTAATACGAGATACGAATGTGGGGACGAGGTGTTATTTATTTTGATAGTCAAAAAAATAGCAGAAAATTCGCTTCCTTCCCATATCCGTCTCCCCATATATATACAGTATTATTTTACACATCTCATCAGCCACATCACTCTCTGAGAGTGCAGGATTTCAACAGCATTGCAGGGACAGATACGTGGCGGGGAATTATCTGCTTATATATTTTTGTTGATATAGATTCTCCACGTCGACGGTGATAATTATTATAAAATGTTTTTTTTTTTTACATAATATGTAGTGTAATGTATGTATTCCTTTGTACAGAGTGCCGGATTAAGCTAGTGCGGGACCTGTAGCATATGTTATAAAGGGGCCCTAAAAAAAAAAACATTAAAACACGATTTTTTTACTTGCATAGTAAAGTAATTGTATTTTGCATTTGCTATACAGCCAGATAATAGGACAAACCGCTAACCTTAAACACCCGGTCGTTCGTAGAAGTTGAAGGCGGTATAGTACTACGGTAATAGAGCAAGTGCAGAATCACTGAACCGGAATTGATAGCATTTAGCGCGGGGCCCTTGAAAGTGCGGGGCCCGTAGCATTCGTAGCTACTTTTGCTATTAGGGTAATCCGGCACTGTTCGTACACAATTACAATGACGTAAACATACGTGGTTGAATAAAACAATTGAATGTATACATTTGGCCGACGGCTTACATTTCAAACATCCTCGTGTGACTCAGACGGTATTGCCCATGAACAAAGGGACTTCTTTCAGAATGCAGGGTTTCGGCAGAAGAGTCACCAACGGTCACTGGAAAGACCATCGGGAGAGGCGATGATGGCTGGAGGGGTTCTGGAGGTGATTGACAAAAGTTGCCGGTTGACTCAGAGACCCGAGCGCGGTGTGACCGACTTCCGAATGTGAATATATGCAAATTAATACGTCCAGAGCTGAAGATTCCCAGATAACGTAATCTGCACACCGACAAGGCATGACAATCAACATCATGTACACTACAAGTACTTTTTTTTCTAGATGCAAATAAGTTGAGAATTACACACACTTCACCTGTAAGGTCATAAATAGAACTAGATAACGGGTTAATACATACAAGGGGGGAGGGGTGGTGGCTGATTGACTCAGGGTACTGATAGTGACGTTGAGCAATGAGATGGCGACACTGAGAGCCTGGGTTCGAATCTGGGTTTGAGCCACCAAGTTTTCAATTGCAATGGCGTTATGGTTAAATCTTGATTGAAAGCTTTCGTGACTGCAGGAATTCATATTCTTTGGGTCT